GGGGGGGGGGGAGAATCATACAACGACTTCACCCGCCCGTGAGACGAGAGGGAGTGTCAGACTCTTACAGACCAAAAACCACGCCATTCCTTCTCTGCACGTAGAGCCGGAGCCCCGGCAACCCGTTAAGTCTTCCGCGGCTACAGTTCAAGTGCTTAAGAATGTACGGTCAACGGTCAAAAGTCCACTGCCACCGTAAGACTACTATCGGTTGCGCTGCAGCGTTTATACACACATGCACACGTATATTTTATATGCGTGTGCGTACGCGTGCGTGTGTTTATGCGTATGCACGCGTTTTTATACACATTAATATGAAATTACTTACGCATTGCCGTGTAATCATCACTCACGGTGGCAGTGGACTTTTGACCTTTGACTGTACAATTCAAGAGCTTGAATAAATTTTGACAGAAATGACCTACTAGCATCAGTACACCAAGTATATGCATTTGCTAGGACAGGACATACTAACCACAATGAGTTGAAGAGTACTTCTTGGAGTTACATCCGAGATGTCCTTGTAATATCATCTTGTTCTTGTCCACCTGGCTGAAGTTATGCCAGATCTGGATATAGAAGTACAACTCACATTGACTACATAGTATAAAACAACGTCGCTATCCGCCGTCTGTCTGTCCCTATGTATATTTAGATCTTTAAAACTACGCAACGGATTTTGATGCGATTTTTTTAATAGGTAGAGTGATTCTTAAGGAAGGTTTATATGTATAATACATGCATATTGCACCTGTGCGAAGTCGGGGCGGGTCGCTAGTTAACTATATATACTAGTTCTTGACGTAGTCATCAACAGCCTATAAGTGGTTACTGCTGACCAAAGGCCTTCACTCGCACGGAGAAGGTTTGAGTATTAATCACCACGCTTGCTCAATGCGGGTGCGATTTCAACCTTATAATTAAAATTATAACTAAGCCCAGGTTTCCCCACGATGTTTTCCTTCACCGTTGGTCAGTGGTGTCTAGATAACCTTAGAAAGTACATATAACTCGGGAAAAGTCACATTGGTACTTGTCGTTGGTAGGTTTCGAACCCGTATGAGAAACAAGGCAGGAATCAGGCGTCATAAGCTTCCGGGCCACAAAGACTACACTAGACGTATAAAAGTTTATTGGCCCTTTTTACCTATTACCCCTAAACAGTCTTTTAACATAAACTTACTTAACGTAGCACCTAAACTATCCCCTTACTTGTACTGGTAAATAACACCATATGAACTTCCTTGAGGTTTGTGAAAATGGGCATTAGAAAAAAATATGAAAAGAAAACTGTTTGGAACTTTAAAAGAAGAATCACAAGACTAGACGCATCATCATCATCATCAATTATAGGTAGCAGTCCACTACTAGATCATGGGCCTCCTCTACAATATGAAGGTTTGGTATAATTCCTCGCTTGACAGGCGCATTGGAGATCGCAGTATAAAAGGTTGGTTTTTCAGAGATCGCTGCTGCCCGGTCTCTGTCAAATGTATAGTCCGTTAGTCGGGTATACGACACCCGCGGGAAGAGAAGCGTTGGTGACAAATTTATTATACTCTACAGTTGCGATACGGCTTAAACTAACTCTCGATTTATTGATTTAGTTACGGTCTTGAAACTCACCTTCTTCAACTTAGAAGGCGCAAAAGGCAGTGGTTGTGTTATTTGCTCTGGTGGTACCCTCGGTAACTTGGCTCTGGGCCGTCTTCTCCTCGCATAAGGCGGTACCCAGGTACGAGTGGCCAATCCAGGTAGGTCTATTATCTAGAATTCAGAAGATACGCTACATGAGCTGCAGTTTACATGTGAACATTAGCTCATGACGATACCTAAGTACGTGTGTCGTCTGGACAGTCAACCTCGCTACATCCTTGTTGACTGGACATCTACACTACATGAGCTGCTGTTTACATGTGAACATTAGCTCATGACGATACCTAAGTACGTGTGTCGCCTGGACAGTCAACCTCGCTACATCCTTGTTTTCTGGACATCTACACTACATGAGCTGCTGTTTACCAAGACAAGAGATTTTAGAGCTGGTGATGAACTTACCACCGGCGGAGGTCTTTGAGGCGGTGGAGGTGGATGCCAAGGTTTAGTTTTAAACTTCACTTTGGTGATCTCCGGCCACCGACGTTTGAAGCGTTGCTTCCGAAGCATTGCTTTGTATTCCGCATCTCTAGTCAAGAAGAATGAAACTTTCGTTACCTATGGCTGTACTTAACTCGTTAATGGGGGTCTCCGGTAACCAAAAACTGATTTCTATTGGCAGTCAAAGAGCATGTCATGGAGTTTAAAAAATTGCGCCTGTTGTACGGCAGTAGGTATCATCCTCTATCACACGACAGTTTTCATATATGTAAGTGGTGATTAGTGGTTCTATAGTCTTTGCTTAGTCCCCATAGGAGACGGGCGACAGGACGGGCGGCCCCCATGACTCCCATGAGTTTTTTTTTTATGGCATAAGCTGGTAAACGAGCAGACGGATCACCTGAAAGCAAGCAATCGGCGTCGCCCATGGGCGCCATGGACACCTGGATCACCAGAGGCGTTACAAGTGTGTCACCGGCTTTTTGGGGATTAGGAGTTTGAGGATCGTTGGGGATTCAGGGATTGGGGAGATTGGGGAAGGGGCCTCCGGTAACCTCACTCACACGACGAAACACAACGCAAGCGTTGCTTCACGTCGGTTTTCTGCTCGGCCGTGGTATCACTCCGGTCGAGCCGGCCCATTCGTGCAGAAGAATGGCTCTCCCACACTTAAAGAAGTTGTTTATATAATTATGTATAGGTACATATGAAAAGTGGGTGTTTGACTATCAAATGCTGTCCTACTGACTCCTGCACAATCCTTTAATAAACTAAATAACGTTCGTTGACGCGGATTCGATCCACGCACGGAAAATAATGTGTTTGTAGTTTGTAAGGTAACGTCGGTCGTTGTACTCGTATCAGTTTAAACTACATTCGGGAGCAAACCAACGTGGCAATAATGTTTTGTTTTTACTTCTTGATACATATTTTCGGATACTTGACACCTATTTTATTGTTTAGTAACGAATGTCGTATTTAGAAAACAATTTAGTTACCTCTAAAATGAGAGCATTTCGTTGTAAAAGGAATATTTTTCAAAGTTATACAGCTTGCAAGTGTTGTAGAGTTATCTCGAACTAGCTTTTACCCGCGGCTTCGCTCGCGTCACAAAAGGGTAAAAAATAGCTTAAACTGTCAAACACCAAGCGGTCACCGGTGACCGCAACCTATTGTTTTATAATTGTGTCTACAAAACCGGTACTCGACGAGTTAAGTGACATATACCAATACACACAGCGCCATCTATACCAATACTTTTGTTTTCGCTCGGGAATATCAAATTTTTCCGGGATATAAAGTACCCTATTATTTAATACAGACTTCTAACTTTACGTCTGCAAAAAATCAAAGCAATCGGTTTGGTAGTTTCGGCGTGAAAGCGGAACAAACAAAGAAACTCACCTTCCAATTTATAATATTAGTAAAGATACTCACTCCTTAGCGACCTGAGATGGTGTCTTCGTGATTTCTATTTCGGAAACTGGTGGAGGAGACTCTTCTTTTGCCATTTTTGATTTCGACATTTCAACTTTTTTACCTTCTTTGTGTGTGAACAAAATGTTATGATTAGTATTAATCAATTCATCGTAAAAAAAACTAAAAACTTTTTTAATTAGTAGGGTAGTTGCCTAAATTTTATTTTAATGTCAGTCTGGTAGATTAATGTAAAACATTAGACACGTATTTTTTCTTTTCTCACAAAATTACATACTTTCGGCGATATATTAATTTGAAAACGTGTGACGTCAAAGCGTGTCACATTTTGTAGCACGTTATGACGTAACGACCTCCCACTCCTAAACATAACTCCATTTTATCTATGTAATGTAACTTTATACGAGGAAAAAAAATGTGTCTAATATTGTTTCATTATCTAACTGACGGATTAATTAGATTTTTAATTTTCATTCCCTGCTAACTATCCTATTATAAATGTCATCGTTATCAGGAGAAGTACTCTAAGAGGTACTGCACTACAAATAAAGTTCTTTGGAAGGTTAAAAATTTATAAAGATGACGATGTGCAGCTCTGATAACTGCCAGGTCGTAGCTACTGCCCCTAGCGTACTATAAATAATTATCCTAAAATTTCTAACCTTTTTTTAAGGGAGGAAAATCATCGAATGACTTCTCCCGCCTGGGTGAGGCGGGAGGGAGTGTCAGGCTCTTACTGACTAAAAACCACCCCGTTCCTACTCCTACACTTCGAGCCGGAGCCCCGGTAACCCGTTAGGTTCTCCGCGACAAATTTCTAACCTTAAAGGATCAACTTTATTTGAAGGGTTCAGTAGCTCTTAGACTAGGTATCCGGGACATGTAAAAATACTTATAGGGTCTCACCTTTATCGGTCATTACTCTCGAATGGGCATCAAGGTTCGTAGATTTGACTCCTAAAATGAACAGAAATATCAGTTACATATAATAAGAATATTTAAACTACCTTATACCGGCGGCTTCGCCCGCGGTCCCGTGGACCATTCTGTAACTACTTTAATGGGACAAGCCCGCCACAACGTCCCAAAATCGCTGCAACTCCTGTGCATCAGGATCTACAGTAGACATGAAAACACCGGTACAAGTCCAACGTCCCACGGACAAGAACATCACTCTCTTGGATGCCGCAACGAAATGCAATAAGAGGAGGAGAAAAAAACTATAGTTTCCACTTCCCTCGGTGAATTACTGCAGGAGACAGAATGAATTAAGCCCAAAGGTACAAAACAATAGATTAGAAGTATTTTTTTTTTTAGGGGGGGAAAATCGAGGCGGGATGGAGTGTCAGACTCTTACTGACTAAAAACCACCCCGTTCCTTCTCCTGCACGTCGAGCCGGAGCCCCGGTTACCCGTTAGGTTCTCCGCGACAGATTAGAAGTATACTCGATAGCATTCTCGCCCGTCATTGGTCGAGAACCAATGACATGGCGGACCGTGATCGAATTCACTTTGATCGTTGCAGAATAGCCTAGCTTAACCAAATTTCATCCCGATCCCTTCAGCGGTTTTAACGTGATAAACAAACATACATACACAAACTCTTGTGGTAATTGTGCCTCCGGTAACCTCACTCACACGACGAAACACTACACAAGCATGTTTCACGTCGATCTTCTGCTCGGCCGTGGTATCACTCCGGTCGAGCCGGCCCATTCGTGCCGAAGCATGGCTTCCTCAACACATAGTGTACAATAAACTATTTATAAATATATAAATGACATTTTACCTTTTTCCTTTAGATCTTTCCGTTCTTTATCATGTTTATCATATTTCTTTTTACCTTCGGGTGCATCACCACCCGCCGTCGTGGGTCTGAAAGTAGGGAACATTTACCTATTTTTATCACGGTAGGATACCATCAAAATGCGCCTAACATTTTGGGGAGAAAGTCTAGGATGTGTGGGAATTTTACCTAACTAAAACAACCCCGGTGGCCACCCTCAGTACCCCTAAGGGTCATCGAGTGTTATAATAAATCCTATTCTACCTAGTGCCTATTCAAATCTACATAATATAAAAATAAAAAACATCAGTAAATTGTAAGTCTAACGCATGAAATATTTGCATCAAAGATGTGGTAAAAAAATGACGATCATGGGAAGTAGAGACATAAAAGCTCATGGACCCGCAACAAGGCAACCGCAAACATTCGATTTTAAAATGTTATACTATCATGTGCTGGAGCTATGAACCACCTAACGGGTTACCAGGGCTCCGGCTTGAAGCTGGGCTTCAAGTTGGTGGCTGGGGCACCGAGGCCGCGTCCGCTAGTGCAGTGGGAGCCAATCACAACCACCGCGGGCGTAAAACACGTCGTGAAATGTACTTCGATTTTTTTACATAGGCGAACCGCGCAACCGGGATAAAATCGCGGCGTGATTCCTTAGCCTAAGAATCTGACATTCTATCTTGCCTCACCCAAGATGGGAGGACTCACTTGTTGCCTTCGTAAAATAAAAAAAACGTGATCAGATTCTTACTTTTTCTTGTTTGCACTCATGGTTTACATAGATTGAACCAACACATAGGATTAACTTCAAATTGGTTATTCTTAAAACGACATCTATCCTTCTTATTGAATTATTTGTTTTTTCCTTGATTTTTGTAATCTGTGGACAATTACATAAACATTTATTTTATTAAATAGGTGAATAGGTTGGTTATAGGACGACGTGCTCCATCAAAGACCGCATCATCGCTTACCACCAGGCGAGATAGAGGTCAAATGTCGCCCCATCAAATATAAAAAAAGAATATTAGGAATCTGTAACGTAAAATATGGGATGGGATGAGTCATGAGGAAGTGAGCTACTGAGGCTCCGGCTCGACGTAGTACCTAGTTGTAACGGTGTGGGTTTTTAGTTAGTAAGAGTCTGACACTCCGTTACACCTCAGCCTAGGCGGGAGGAGACATTCAATGATTTTTCTCTCCAAAAAAAAGCCACAAGACGTCTACTGCCTCCCACAGTCCTCCCCCAATGATAACACATCGCGAGGTTGGAAGTGACCTGGATACAGCGACTGTCGCAGATCTTTATCAGCTCGTGTATCCTACCTATATACGGAGAATACGGTGGACGTTCTATCCGTACTGGCGTTTCTTCATCAATCCGACAACAGAGGCCTTAGTACGAGTTTGAAAACTTCTGCATAATTATGGGTAAACTTTTTAAGCAGACTTCGTCCTTTCGATAATCTGAAAACTTCAATATAGTTGTAATTCCTGAGGCTCTGATTGGTTGGTTCATTGGCGCCGGCAAAATGCCGAACGCGTACTCGTTTCGAATACTTCAAACGTAAATCAAACTCGTACTAAGAAATTACAACAATTTTCAAACATTCAACCAAACGAACTATTTGTTTTCAGATTATCGAAATTATCGTATGCTTAAAAAGTCTACCTACAATTATGTAGAAGTTTTCAAATCGTTCCAAAAGTTTCTGGGCCTATGTTATGCAGATAGATAAACAAACAATAAAACCCGTGATTTACAAAATACTTATTTAGAAAAGACAAATTCTTGTAACCGTCGTCGAACCGATAGATGACATTGTTTAGATAATGTTCTTATCAATTTTTCTACGAAATATATTTTAGTTAGTTTTATATTTAGCTTACCTTTATACTTTTTTTTTGTTTTGTATTTTTTACCAAAAACTTACTTTTTATTCACCATCACCACATTTCTTTATTTTCGTGTCCATGGATCGACGCATATTTTTGTCTTCCTAATTTTTATGTTCGATTTTATTTTTTATTTTTTTTTTATATTATGTGCCAAATACTTTTTTGTGACGCAAATAGTTCGTATACGTGAATGTCGCAGCAAGGTGATGAAATCAGGGATTTCGTGAAGTCACTGATTTCTATAGATTTAAACTCAAGTTTTTTTTTAATGCAAGACATTTATTATTTACAGATATTTTTTTTTTTTTTTTTTACCTCGATCAACAATGAAAATTATTAATAAGAATTTAAATTAAATAAATATATACAACTTAAAATATAACTAACAAAAAACTAAAGTATATGTTTACACCTTAAAAAATTAATACTTAATAATAAAATTGCTACCTAAAGGCATCAAAAAAAAAATTCCTCTTCTCTGTCGTGAGGTAGGGTGCCCTTAAAGACTGGCAGCATTGCCACGTTGAATGGCAATGAATTAACCTTTGCCCAAGGTAGTAGTCAGCCCTTCGATCACCTGAAGTGACAACCATCCTCCTTACAATTTCTTTGTAAAATGAATGTGTGCATTTGGGCCCCACGGCCCTAAAGTTTCAACCACAAACGGTTCGAAAGCATAATTGCCAATCAGGCTATTATACTTTCGCCGTTTGAGGTTCTCGGCAGCAGCAGCGACAGCACTGGCTCGACACGCTGAGCTTGGAAGTTAGGATGGTGCCAGAGTATCAACGCAAATGGCGTCCCATACTAAAGGCCTACCCATCTTCCAAGGGAATAATGACATACTGTCGGGTCTCTTGCCATCGTCGCGTACCAAGCCATTATTTAGGTTTTAAAGTAGCTGGCACGCCAACGGAACGAAATACTAACTATTACTAAATATAAACAACTTAAAGTCAAGTTGGATTGGCTTTTGATATTTTTAAAGAAATTGTCTTTCAAAGAGACTTGTGGGCTCAAAATATATTAAAGAGACTCGAGATATTTTTATTTATTTCCTTGTAAGTACCTACTTCGGAATTAGCTGAAGTAATTTCATTATGAAAACTTTTTTATATATTTGATGGGCCGACGTTCGACCATCATCTCGCCTGGTATGTAAATAGGTAAGTATTTGAAGCAAAAGAGGTATGTAAGAATCATAGCAATTGACGTTCCATAGCCTACTCCCATAGGAGACAAGTGTGAAGTTATGTACGGATGTAGGTATAATTTATGTAAGTTTTGCTGGAATTTCGTGAAATCCCTGGTTTCGTAATTTCCTGCGACATATATGAGATACATTTAAAGATATTTGTTTTTCATAAAGCTGTAAGTAACGTTGTATTCTTATTATGTAGTTACATTAGTAACCATATATCAATTATTCCTTTATTAATTATTTTAGTTCATAAAATATTTAAAGTCGAAAATAACTTTGATCAATAACGAAACGTAAAATCACCTGACCTTCATTCATAAATTTAATGTTGCCAAAATTGAAATTTTACGAACAAAAGTGGTAAAATATTTTGATTTCAAACAAATATGTAGTTATTTATAACATTTTTTTTTTTAATAGATTTGCGCATTCTTGTATTATTTTTTTTTTTTATGGGTAAATGTAAGTACATTCAAGCAAAAAAAATCAGTTCGCTTTTTACCGTCACTCTAAATAGTATAGTAATAACAAAGCTAGAGTGTCACTAATAAAGTGTGATTAAAAATTGTATGTACCTATATCAACCAAAATTAAGTTAACAGTTTCAATAAAAGACAAAAATGTAATAAACCAATAACGTCAAATTATGCTTTTCATTTTATATCCAATAGGGTTATTTTAGTTTTCAATAAATAGCAACATTGCAACTTACCTGTCATGCGCTTCATTCATAGAGCAAAGAAAAGAAATTCCTAAAACGCATGACAGTTTGACAGCACTGTGACAAAAATATAATAAGAACGTGATATTTTAATTGTAAATAATCTTTTAATTTAACAAATTAAACATGTCGGATAACAAGGAAGTTGATAAATCTAATGTCGACCCGGAATTGGACGATTTGCTTGAAAGTAAGTTGGTTTATTTTCGTAAATAATAATTCATGCTTGTATTGTATTACACAACGCATAACCTGGGTTTCGTATAAGAATGTAAATAAAATTGTATTAATTGCCTTCAAGGACGAGACGGAATATTAATGCGTGTTGCATGTTCGTTTTATTACTAGGCCTTTATTAGTGTGCGATTAGAAATTTATTGCTGACGAAATTGACACTAGAATTATTTTAAGACTGGTAGAAAAATGATATTTTCTCGATAACTGCCGTGATTTTTATAGCTATTTTCATATTTTGTGTCGCATGATTAAATTTAAATTGATATTGAAGTTGGTTAAATTTCCAAAATGTAAATGATAAGATTAAAATTCTAAATTTATTTATTTAATCTTATATTTCCTATGTCTGAAGGTTGTATAGCGTGATAAAAGACTTGCAAAACAGCAATTATACTCTAACACATAACATAACAAAACACCTATTATCCCTGAAGAGGTAGTCAGAGGTGCACACAGACATAACACCCACTTTTGACTTTTATGTTATGAGTCCCATGTAATAGGGGGTGAGCCTGTTGCCATATACTGGGCACAATTCCAGACTGTGCTACTACTAAGATTTTTTTTAAAACCTAATAATACTTTACCTGACCCCGCTGACCCGGGAATCAAACCAGAGATCCCTTGCCTGCCGGTCGCAGTTGCGACCTCTCGGCCAATGAGGCAGTCTCTATTAGTTAAGATTATGTAGACAGCACTGACATATAACAACAGAAAACATAGTGAGGAAACCTGAACTTAAAATTTCTAATTATAAGTTTAAAATCACCAACCCGCATTGAGCAAGCATGGTGATTGATACCCTAACTTTCTCCATGTAAGAAGAGGTGTTTGCTCAGCAATAAATACTAATCAACTGAAATGTGATGTGATTTGTGACATGAAAGTGTCAACACTGTTAGTTAATCAACGATGATGTATTAACGAGTACTATGCCAGAATGCAAATCTACATGAGACACTATACATTTATCTATTGTGTCTCAGAAACTGGCATTCAAAAGCTTATTTTGAATCTCTAACATGGCTTGAAACTATTTGAGTTTCTCGTCAAATAATTACTTGAGTAAGATGAAAAAACAGAATAATTTATTCTATATGTCACATGATAGTTATAAGATAAAAATTCTTCCATACTAATAATTGTCAATTGTAAATTTTATTCTATCGTTAACAATCTGTTGATTGGAAAATAGGTCATTATTGGAATAAGTTTTATTTGAAGAATAATAGCGACTATAAACTCTGTTGTTACCTTGAAGAATTAAAAGATTCGTTGTTATGTTAAGATTGCAAGTGCAACTGCAGGGCAAGGGGTCTCAGGTTTGATTCCCGGGTTGGGTGAAATATTGCTGGGTTTATTTAAATAAATCTTAGTAGTAGCACGGAGTCTAGAATTGATCCATGTATGGTAATACGCTCACCCCCTATTACATGGGTCTCATAACATAAATAGTGAAAAGTGAATGTTACATTGTACAGTGGCATAATGTGCACCACTGCCTATTCCTTCGGGGATAAAAGGCATGATGTTATGTTAATACTAGAGTTTTGTTTGTTTGTCTGTATGTATGTTTGTTACTCAATCACGTCAAAACGGCTGAAGGGATTGGCATGAAACTTGAGACATAGGTTGATTATAGTCTGGATTAATACATAGGCTACTATTTCATCATCATCGTCATCATCAGCCCTTAATCGTCCACTACTGAACATAGGCCTCTCCAATGGCACGCCACTGAGCTCAGTCTTCAGCGCTCTTTTTTTTATGGCATAATCCTGTAAACGAGCAGACGGTTTTTTTTATGGTAAGTAATCGGCGTCTCCCATGGACACCTTAAACACCAGAGGCGTTACAAGTGCGTTACCTGCCTTTTGGGGATTAGGAGTTTGAGGGTCGTTGGGGATTCAGGACTTGGGGAGTTTGGGGAAGGAGAGGGTAATTAGGCCTCCGGTAACCTCACTCACACGACGAAACACAACGCAAGCGTTTTATTGCTTCACGTCGGTTTTCTGTGAGGCTGTGGTATCACTCAGGTCGAGCCGGCCCATTCGTGCCGAAGCAGGGCTCTCCCAAACTTGTCATATCGCTCATCCAACCACTGCCAGCCACCTTGCGAATGTCGTCACTCCACCTAGCTGGAGGGCGCCCTACACTACTATTTGTCTAGGCTACTATTTGTCCTACCATAATGCTAACAGAAGCTAGCTTGTTCTTCAATATAACAAGTTATAGTCATGTTAACATTGATTCACAACGACCTTTGGACCGTTCCTACAATTGTGTGAATTATACATTTAAAGACATGCAGCATTGAATACCTACATTTTTTATTCAGAGGTCATTGATTATGTTAATGGTTTTATGTCATTTGTAAATAAAAATGAATTTAAATTCCTATTAAACTGTCAAACACCAAGCGGTCACCGGTGGCCGCAACCTATTGTTCTATAATTGTGTCTACAAAACCGGTACTCGACGAGTTAAAATGAAATAAATCAATTATAAACTTAATGTAGAACTAATGCAATAAGATGTTTTGTGGTTTGTGTAGAAAAAAACTTATTATAGCTACTTTTAATTAAACCGCAATAACCGAACTCGAAAATAACATCACTATTTTTAATCTTTGATGGGATAGGCTAAGTTACTTAATAAATATAATAAAAATGATATGAAATACTGACTCCTTGACAACTTTATGTTTTTGCGTCAAATAGCAAGAAATTGATTTCTAAGAAAATGTATATAACATTCATAACATAACATCACGCCTTTTGTCCCCGAAGGGGTAGGCAGAGGTGCACATTATGCCACTGTACAATGTAATGCCACTGTAACTTTTCGCTATTTATGTTATGAGTCCCATGTAATAGGAGGTGAGCCTATTGCCATATACCGGGCACAATTCCAGACTCCGTGCTAATACTGAGATTTTTTAAAAAACCCAA